AAGTGGTAGTTAGGCTGGCACTCTGGGTAGTTAGGCTGGCACTCTGGGTAGTTAGGCTGGCACTGTGGGTAGTTAGGCTGGCACTCTGGGTAGTTAGGCTGGCACTCTGGGTAGTTAGGCTGGCACTCTGGTGATTGGTAAGACAACAAGATGGAATTTGGGTAATTTAAGGTAATTTTAGGATTTTAAGGGAAATTTTAGGTAAAGTTTGGGGTATTTTTAGGTATTTAATATAATTTTAGGTATTTAAGTATTTTTAGGTAATTTTAAGTATTTTTTAGGTAATTTTAAGTATTTTTAGGTAATTTTAAGTATTTTTTATGTAATTTTAAGTATTTTTAGGTAATTTCAGATATTTAGGTAATTTTTAAGTATTTTAGGAACGTTTTAGGTAATTTCAAGTATTTTTAGGTCATTTTAGATATGTTTTAGGGGTAGTATTTTCATTACGCAATTTAAGGAGTTTTTGTTTAGGTCAGTTTTAAGGTGTTGGGAAACGTTCACTGTCTGACCTTTAAAAGTGACGTACGTGTGTGTGTGTGTGTGTGTGTGTGTGTCTGTGTGTGTGTGTGACAGAGAGAGAGAGAGAGAGAGAGAGAGAGAGTTTAATGATAAAGTTGATAAACACATATTTGTAGATAGATAGATAGATAGATAGATAGATAGATAGATAGATAGATAGAGATAGATAGATAGACAGACACATTATGGTAGTGGAGATAAGAGGTTTGACAGGATGCAAATTTACCTCATCAACGCACGTCCTCTCACTAGGGTATCTCAGGGCATTGATTATCTCTTCAGAACACCTCCTAATTTGTTGTTGTTATTATTATTATTATTATTATTTCACTATTTTTTTAATGGCCTCCAGCCTCCCCCAATAGCCACACCTTCGCCACCATTTTATTACCTTAATATTAAATATCCTAATACATAAAGTTATCCTACCTGTGTTGAGTTAGTTGAGCCAGATCTATGCGCATTCAGTGACTGTTGCCTCATAGTCAATATCTGCAACTGTTGTCGGCTTTGGGCCGATGCTCTGTTCCCTGAGGCAGAGCAAGCCGACCTAAGGAGAGAGAAGGACAGTCATCCAGGCTGTAACATAACCTGGGCTGCTGCTTCTGTTCGGATAACACCTCCGCGAGTCTGGCGTAGAAACATCTCACTTGGTCCCATCCCACCAGAGGTTGTGAACACTAGAGGAGTGAAGCTGCCTTGATCAACGTTCTGAATTCTCCATATGCCCTTATCTTGTCGTTCTGTTCCCTGCAGCATCGAGCTGTTACGGTGACAGGCCATGGATCAAAGTCCTGATGTCGAAGAAGGCCTCTGTCCCGGCGTCCAGAATCCTCGAGCACTGACGTCCACGTGGGCTTGTTGATGTGTTTGAAGTCCTATGTTGGAAATTCTCACCGTCCAGTTGAAGGAGGGTCGGTTCTACCATGACATCACGACAGATTTCTTCAACATATTTGCTGTGAGGTCCCTTACTTGTCATGCCTCATGCATATGAAGCCCTTTGCACACACACCATGGCGTGATCGACGTCATAGGAAGAGCCACACACGCAATGGGAGGCAAACCTTCACTGGCCGACCGTACCTTAGAGCATTGGCATCTGTAAATTTTGTTTATTGAGACTGAAACCATTTGCCCTTATCGGTAACGTAGTTAACCGATTCAGGCGCCCACCCTGTGCTATAGCTACTTTTTTTTTACTACTACTACTACTACTACTACGACTACTACTACTTACTACTACCTACCACTACTACCACTTACTACCACTACTACTTTACTCCACTACTACTACCACCACCACCACCACCACCACCACCACTGCCATCTAACCATCTCTCACTCTCTTCCAGGTAAGGTAATTAATGAGACGATACCTGCTTGGATGGAAAGGTAAATAGTCTCCTTAATTGCTTGTCGTTTTACCTCACTTAGAGAGAGAGAGAGAGAGAGAGAGAGAGAGAGAGAGAGAGAGAAATATTACTTTTCCCCCTCATCATTTCCTCCTCTTCCCAACCCTCCCTTTCTCCCCCAATGGCCTTGTTAGGCTTCCGTAACGACCCATATTGACCGTCGTTCAATTATCTTTCAACTAGGGTTCGTTTGGGGGAGAGAGAGAGAGAGACGTGTGTATCTCCTATTAGCCACGACAATGGAGGACTCTCATTTTGTGTGTTTGATAGTTAAGTTAGGTTAGGGGTTAGGTTAGGTTAGTTAGGTTATTGTGTATACTCAATATTTTGCCTAACCTCCCCCCCCCCCTACCCCCCTCCCCCCCACACACCCCTTCATGCCCCCTTCACGGTACATTGCCCCAGTCTCTGTCACAGGGCCAAGTGGGTGCCAGTGCCTCCCCTCCCCCCCCCACACACACACACACACACACACACACACACACACACAACTTCACCTCAGTACCTTTGGTGTTGCTACCGTGTGTACATACTTCTCTTACTGAGATATTTATGTGAAACTCCTTCTCATTGGTGCGTTAAAGGCCTATATGTAATGAGGGTTGTGATTGGTCCTTTGTGTTTGGAGATGAGGTTTTTGATTGGTTGGTGAGAAAAAAAAATAAGTGATCTATGATTCGAGACTGTTACGAGGCCTGTGATTGGTCAGTAGTGTTTGTAAAAGTGTCGGTGATTGGCTGGTGAAAATTGACATGTTACGAGGCCTCTGATTGGCCAATAGTGTCTGTAAAAGTGTCAGTGATTAGTTGAATAATATTTACCTAGGATTCGATGTTACGAGGCCTCTGATTGTCAATAGTGTCTGTAAAAGTGTCGGTGATTGGCTGGTGAAAACGAAAACATATGCACATTGTTTACTGAAGATTCATAGCTATTACGAGATCTCTGTCTGTGTTGTGTTTGGTTGTTGTTGTGTTGTTGTTGCTGCCTCTCCTGTCTGTCTGTCTGTCTGTCTGTCTGTCTGTCTGTCTGTCTACCTGCTTGTGTTGTGTCTGTCTCCTGCTATCTGTCTGTCTGTCTGTCTGTCTGTCTGTCTGTCTGTCTGTCTGTCTGTCTGTCTGTCTGTCTCAATTTATTTCTTCGTCAAAAGAAAAAAAAAATATTGTGCATGTGTGTGTGTGTGTGTGTGTGTGTGGTGTGTGTGTGTGTTGACCAGATGGTGAATGACACACACACAGCGAATAGGACTTCACCTGTTGGCTTAATTATGTGAGAGAGAGAGAGAGAGAGAGAGAAGAGAGAGAAGAGAGAGAGAGATTATCTGTATTCATTCCTCCTCCTCCTCCTCTCTCTCTCTCTCTCTCTCTCTCTCTCTCTCTCTCTCTCCCTCCCCTCCCTCTCTCCCTCTACCAACTCACGCCCTGACCTCACTCAGCGGTATGTCTCTTCGTTGATGATCTAATGGGTTACTACCTAACCCTAACCCAGCCTGAACTTGACCAAACAATCTAAAATAGGAGTGAGGTGGGTGGGTGGGTGGGAGAATGAGGTGAGTGGTGGGTGGGTGGGTGGATTTATGGGTTCTTGGCACTGTCTTAAGAGCTGGTGGCATTCTGGGTACTCTACTGATACCATAGTTACCTAGGTTGATCCTCTTGTGGTGTTATTGTTTTGATGTTTTTGTTATTGTTTGATGTTTTGTTATTGATTATGTTTTGTTATTGTTTGTGTTTTTTGTTATTGTTTGATGTTTTATTGTTTTGTTTTTTTTGATGTTTTTGTTATTGTTTTGATGTTTTTGTTATTGTTTTGATGTTTGTTTTGATTTTGTTGTTTTGATGTTTTGTTATTGTTTTGATGTTTTTGTTATTGTTTTGATGTTTTTGTTATTGTTTTGATGTTTTGTTATTTGATGTTTTGTTATTGTTTTGATGTTTTTGTTATTGTTTTGATGTTTTTGTTATTGTTTTGATGTTTTTGTTATTGTTTTGATGTTTTTGTTATTGTTTTGATGTTTTTGTTATTGTTTTGATTTTGATGTTATTGTTTTTATTATTATTATTATTGTTGTTGTTGTTATATTTCGTGTTTACTGTGACACTCCAGTCTACCTGTAATCAACGTGTAATCAACTCCATCTACCTATGAATTACGTGAACTTGACTGATAATCTACATAAACTGCACATGTAGTACAGTGATGTTGGTAGATAATTTTGGTTGCCGTGGTGGTGATGACAAGAGGACAGCGTTGCCACGTTGCCATTATGGATCTCTATGATAATCTTCCCGATGTTTGGTATGGCAACACAGGCTACCACCAAGCCTCCAGACTGCCATGGCAACTCTACCTCTTCATTCCAAAGACATTTAAAACCCGCAGCTACTCCCGCCACCGGTAGATCGATATAGCAACTGTTCCTCGCCCCAGTCGCCAGTTCGCCGCCAACAGTCCTCGCCATCACAACAGAATGGCAACGAACTATCGATCATGGCAGCATGGTGTCTGTACCGCCGTCTCAGCGCTATGGCAATCAAGTTCAGTCAGCGTATGGCAACGAAAGATCTTCCTCTCCTCGTCTTCCGTGTTATGGCAACTCTAAGTCTCCCACACTAACGTTTAATCGCCATGGCAAGCAGGATATGGCAAGTGAAGATAATACCTTGGCATCTCTTCAGCGTTATGGTAAATGTGTGCCATCCTCGTCAACACTCCAACACCATGGCAATATGTCACCCCGAGGAGATTTTGCCATATCTAACTCACCAACGGCATGGCAAGTCCTTACCTCCCTCGCCTCTCCTTAAACATGGAACCGGGATATGGCAACACAGGGGACTTTTGCCATTCTCAACACTTCAACGCCATGGCAACTCCGTCCCTTGGGCTTTTCAAAATGGCAACGCCCCTCAACACTATGGCAGAGGCTCGCCACACGTATCTTTATTAAAACAGCTTTTAGA